ACCCTGGCTTGAATGCAAGAGAAGTTTTTTCTAGTAAAATCAGGTTGCTGTCCATACTAATCAGGTAGGCTAAACTACTGAAGTAAATATATCTGAAAAGGTAATGATTGAAATAAACTAGAATTGGCTTTATCTCTCCAGTAACAGTCAAGGCTGGAGGGTCAGGTCTTTGGGTGGTAGGAATGGGGAATGTCAGTCACCCAGGAACCCAACACAGAATGAGGGTAATGCTTCTTTTTTTAACATGTGCCTTCCAAGGTCTGCTTTGCCATCACTATTCCAGCCCATGGAAAACAAGGAAGAGCTGCAGGAGTGAGCATGCAAAGTTTCAAGATAAGGCTTGAATGGCATCCATCACTTTTGTTCACACTTGGTTGGAAAGAGCTTAGTCCTGTGGCCATAACTAGTTGCAGAAGGAAAAGAAAAAAATAGTCCTGAACTGGGCAGCTATGTCCCAATTATGACTGTATGTAATGTGGAAGCAGTGGGGCACAGGTTTTTGAAGACAACTTGCAATCTCCACCAGACCCTCAAAGCCCTTTCACGGTTTCAAAAGAATACGGTGGTAAGATATAGGTCAGAGAATCAATTGTCCTGGGTGCTTTGCAGAATAAACTATCTCTATAGCTTACATAAGCCATCTGCAACATGAATGCATTTGCTTGATGAAATATTAAGGCATTCGTATGAAATTATTATATGCTCCTATTTCATGAAGTATTGAGGATAGAATATACAATATATGAAAGTCACTTGGAAAAGTTAAAAGTATTGCATAGCTCTACAGTTTTAGAAGTTAAATGAAATTATTCTTTCATTGTTCAAAACTAAGAAATAATTAGTTTGAGCTAATTAAGACAATGCTCAGCATTTTCATAATTAAATAAAAATGTAATGACTAACAAGCAGAGTGAAACTGCAGTTAACCCTCAAACAGAGCCCACACAGAGCACACACATGAATGAGGATAGGATACATGTTGTGGTTAAGCTAAGACTCCTTGGTTGAAAATGGGTCACAAAAACAAGATAGATTTACCAATAGAGACAGCACATTTTGTTCTATCATTTAGTGTTACAGTTCAATGAATATCACAACTACCAGCATCACTGAGGTTTGAAGGATCAATGAAGTTGCAATGCATAGTATAGTGTGAAAGCCTAGAGAATGTTAAGACCCTCAGTGAAGGATCCCTGGATAAGAGTGTTCAAAAGAAGATTTCACTTTGTCTAGGGAATACAGACAAAGCGAAGTAGGGGGATAAGCAAGAGACAAAGCAAGACCCTTTCAGAAGGATCACACAAAGATGCAGATCATAGCAGAATATAATACATTGGCTAGACCCAGGTTTTTAATCAGCGTGTACAACTCTATACCCAATCCTGCCTAACAGCTCTGATCAATACTCTGATATGTCATGTAAAGAGGCCAGCGAAGGTTAGGGAACGGAGGTCCTCTGACCCACTGACCTTGTTACCACATTAGAGAGTCACCATTTTGCCCTGTAAATATCAGATCAATTCCCAAAGATTAAAACATTACCCAGAAATCTCTGGCTTCCTGGAATCTTTAATAATAATAAAAAACTTCATACACTACTATTTTCAATAGTATATGGAATTATTATTTACTACATTAGCTTAATCCATTTTGTTTGCTCAATTTTTTAACATTCTTATCACAATTGGTTTCCGATGTTTATAAGGCAGTGCCTGAGTTTCAAAAAGATCTATACTATCATCATTATTGTTCTCAATGTATGCTTATATCTATTTTTATGTTGAAGAAATAACTTTTATCTGTGGAATTTTTATAAATAACTTATCATTGATTGTTCATTTTGTCATATAGCCCTTACCAGAATTACCCTTAAATTACAAAGAGCTATAAAAGATTTTTTTCTCCATTTAGGTCAAAGATGGCCTATGTTTAATTTATCTTTTATCTCATGTGATATATTGCATTTGGTAGACATTCTATACATAAATTAGTAAGATTCTGTCTCAACTGTATCTCCCTCAACTTGAGGAGGTAGGAGGTAAAAGGGAGGCCTATCCATACAGCAACTATAAATTTGTGGGTTTGCTTTTTATTTTCCTCTCAGGAAAGTGGACCCATCTCTCTGGGCCTCCACAAGGAGGAGCAAATCTGGTTTCCAATACTCCACAAAAATGTCACAACTTCTCTGGGCGCAGGCCCTCTGTCTAGCAGCCCTGGATAAACAGGCATTTAGCAGTAATGATTCCTCACTGGTTCTTTTATATCTCAGGGATCACCAAGAGATTACTGGGTCCAGTGATTGACACATCTTTTTGATGGGCATGATGCATATGATTTAAATCACCAACTGAATAAATAAATAAGCCAATAATCGTCCATTCTAGTTAGCAACAAATTTCCACCTGCCATCTGGCTGCTTGCTGGTGCCACTTCTGTCAGGTTCAACAAGTTGTCATCTAAAATAACACCCAATTCAGACACTAGTTCACTTTCAGAGCTGCAGGGGAAAAAAAGAGAGAAGACTACAGCTCCTTGCACCACAGCCTCCTGCCCCCACTGTACCTGCTCTGCAATTACTGCTATCTTGCCTGCCAGAGTTCCAGTAAGGGCTCTAGAGCTCCTGGCACTTGCCTGGATAGTCTACTAAATCTAATCACCAAAGATGACTTTTTCTTGCCAGCTGAGTGCATCAAACCAAAGGAGTAATATCAGATAAATATATGGGGATCTATTTTATTTAAGTATATCAAGGAAAGAAATAGAGAAGAGGGGCTTTTTACTGGCATGATTTTCCAGGATTGTTTTTCAATTTTATTGTCAATCTAAATATTAATTTTAAAGGAGGTAATATTGCCAGGGAGAATAGACAGCTTCAGGGAATCCATCAGCCTTTGGCTCTTCTGGAGGCGTGGAACTGGCTTCTCAGGTGAGTTCAGGCTGTGGGGGTGTAATCAGAGTCAGCACACTGCTTACCTTGGGTGGGGCTGGGGCAGCTCAGAAATGAAGAGGTGAGGCTGCCCCTGGCAGCACTCAGATTCTCTCACCTCCAGGGGGTTTATTGGGTCCAGCTTAAGGAGAGTTCTAATCACATACTGAATTAGTTGGCACTGGCTCTCTGGGATGTGCTTAACTCTGTCCTTCCATCGCCTTAAAGTACACATACTTAAAAAAAATAAGTTAAAATAATAGAATTATCATCATTGTCCTGAATTGGGCCCCATGAAATTTGCTTTAGCCCATCACTAAGAATAGTGGCATCAACTTTTTAAAAAATTTCTCAAGTGTAACAGTTCTTATTTGCATTGTGAAGCTTTCCAGACAAAATTTAGTCCTTTCTTAATTTCCTTTCTAGGTGTTGATGAAGGTAAATGTCAGTAAGACAATGATTAGTTTCATGATGACAGTTGTACTCTGCTAGTGACCTGTGACCTCCCTCCTTAGGTGATTTTAAAGTTAACATGACTATATACCAGATATCTACAATGGAAGGAACACACTCGAGACTAGAACATGTGGAAGGAATTTATTGAATGCATAGGGCTTATAGAGCAGAAAAAATAATTGGGAAATTTCGCCCACCAAAACTCCCACTTAACAGTTACTTGTAGCCCACTGGCCTTTAATAGCCTCAACAAGCATATTTACATTAGTGCAGTCCTTTGCTCAAACTGCAATCACCTGCTTTGTCTGACCCTCAGAAAAGAGACAAGGAACAGAGGAGATTGTAAAGTCGAAGTAAATTAGTTTAAAGCAGTTGAGAGTTGTTGAGGAAATGGGTGGGGAAACATCTGGGTGGGATGAGAGTTGAATATAGTTCTTGGCACTTTGATCAGGCAGTGACCCTGGACCCTCTGCTTCCAAGCCAAGCAGACAGGCCTCCAGCCAGCCAGCTAGCCCTCGCCTTCTCCCTCCCCTCCAGCTGTCGCTTCACGAGAACCCCAGGCAGGATCCTATAGTCCCATATCCCTCACCTCTCAGGACCACAAAAAGAAAATCATTCTTCACTCTGATCCGGACTTGCCTTATATCAGAGCTCAGCAGCAGTGCCATGCTTTGCAGTCACACTAGTAGGGTCTCTTTTGTATAAGAAAAGGACAGAATGTTGGAAGGAAACTCTCCTTGACAGATGGGAATGAGAGTGGTGTGAGTATCTAACTGGAGGCAATAAAGGTGTTAGCAAATAGCAGGGGGGAAGAGTGGGCCCTGCTGATTACTAGCTCTCCTACTTGCTTGCTGCGTGCTGTACAAGAGCCAGTGAGAGGTGCCTATCCAAGCTTCAGCATTAACAGCATGTGGCTCTGGCAGATAAACAGCGTACTTGTTGGCTTTCTCAATATCACAGGTATTGGCTGGTTCCCCGTGCAACTTAGGGGCTCTTATTTCTTTGTCATGCTCCTTTCCATCGCCTTTTCTCCCTGTCACCCTCTCTTTCTTTGTCCTGATTCTTTTGTTCTTGTCTGTCCTGGTCCTGTAATTCCTTCTGTGATCTTCCCCTTACTGTTATAGGACATCCTCCTATAAGTGTCAAGCCCGCTATCCTAAAATCACAGCCATCTAGCTCTACCGTCCATGTTAAGAAAACACAGCTATTGCCGAAAATTAGATATCTATACAGTGTTTAAATGTGAATCATAAGACTCCTTCAGGCAAGAATAACACTGTACCAAAAAATGCTGTAACTGAAAGGAGTTATAAGTGCTTATTACCTCCTCATAACTACTTTCCATTTTACAGCCAAGCAAACCAAGACTTGGAAAAGTTTAATGAGTTCCTAAGGTTATACAACCAACAGTGTGAAAGGGAGGCAAACTCTTGACTCCCTAGCCAGTGATTTTTTTGTGCTTTATGAATTTTAATGTAAAAAAAAAACCCACAGATTCTCTAGATCCCTAGGCTAAACAGGAAAATATTTCTTAGCCCCAATCATGTTTGAATCGCTCTCCTGCTAAAACAAATACAGGTACTGCATCAGGGAAGCTCTTTTGTTCTAATTGCCTGACCTTAAGGAAGTCACTCAGCTCCGGGTTTTCAGTCTTCTCTTTCACAACTTCAGAGCCTGGACAGATCACCTGGGGTTACTTCCAGATCCAAAATTCAATGGCCCTTTAAGCCTAACTTCTTTTCCCAGAATACCTGTCATTCATAGGTAAATAGTGTTCTCAGTCCTTTACACTGAAAAAGGTTAAGTAAATAAAATGAAAAGATTGGGCTCTGCTATTGGCCTAAATTATAATTTTGTGACCAGGGATGAAAAAAGTTAATAGCAATAAGAAAGCTTCCAGGATCTACCATTTACAATTTAAATACTTTGCTTGAAAGGTTAAAAGTTCAAAGTTGAGTCATAGTCTGAGGTGGCTCTGCTCTTTCTTTTTAATTATCTGAGGTCAGGAAGTTAATAATACCAGAAATCCCCAGTGGAGACCTCTTGTGCACTGTGTGAACTTTAAACTTGCTCATTTTTTTTAAGGGTAAAAAGTTCAGTAGAAACACAGTGGACTTTTCCTCTTAGCCTCTACCCATTCATCCCCCAAGGTCAAAAGTTGAACTGTAAAACAGGAACCCTTGTTCTCTGATCCACATTTAAACAGATCACTTATTAAAAGGTAAACATTCCCAAAGCAAGCCAAGATCCAAAGTGAATATGTTCAATAAAAGTGAAAATACTGCAATAAAATGAGCCTTTGATCTTTATCACTTGCCTTGGAATTGAACATCAGAATTTATTCTCTTAATTTTTGAATTTCAGAGAAAGAGCAGTTACAAAAACTCGTTCCTCACCTCCCTTTGCCCTGAGATTGACATATCTGGAAAAGATAAACTTAAGAAGCTTTTAAATAGTTGTGTTTATAGTCTTATTGTAGAGCAATTTCTATAATTAATTATATACATCTATTTTTTTATTTGCTCAAATAGGAGCTGAAGAATCACAAAACATGGTTTAAATTGGAGAGATTTAAAGGACCGTGGAGTTAGAGGTGTATGCTGAAAGGGGGGGTGGGGAGGGAAAAATGGAGGAATGGACCCGATGAATCTCATGGGAGTAAGGAATAGACTGGATTTGGGATCTTCAAATGTTAAAACTCAAATATGAAGCCAGGAGGACAGCTATAGAGCTCTAAATCTGTGTTTAATAAGGAAAGACAGCTCTCTTAAAGTGACAGTGCCAAATTTAAGAAGTAGGGCACAGCCGTCAACTGAACATTAACTTAATCCAATCAACTTGCTTAGAAAAACTCACTGGACCACCTTCATAAGAAGCTGTTATTACATGTTGCTCCTAGATGTCCTTTCCTGATAAGCTAAGTGACATAGATGTCCATTTTTTTCAATGCATACCGATGAGAATGCTTCTATTGCTAAGAAAGAAATCCTAACTCTGAATCAACATCTTTTTTTCAAAAATGTTTAAAGAAATCACCTTTCCACAATTTACCTATCCAAATGAGGACAATGCCACCTGCTTTCCTTATTAATAATTTTTGTACAGAAAACAGTGAGAACCTTAAAATAAAAATGTCTGATAAACATTCATAATTAATACTCATCACCGATATCAGTTTTGACAAAGCCAGTTAAATCTTTGGACTTTCTGATTAATTTTATAGGAAATGAAAGCTGGAAGACGTAGTTCTGAAGAACTTCTGACCTAGACCCATGTATACTTGCAGTAATTCTTCATGACATCCTCTGGGGCTCCTGGATGCAGCTGGATGACCCAGACCCAGGAAGGACACAGCCAGGAAGGAAATGAGGAGGTCACACAGGGCTACTTCCTCTTGCTAGGGCTGTCCCCTCAACAGCTGGAAGGAAGTGTGGAAATTCCTAATGAGTCAATGTGTGACTTTAAAGTACAGGTTGAAATTTGAAAGACATTGATCATATCAATTAGGGTATTGACCAAAAGGAAGTGACTGCATTTAGGAGAGTATTCAGAGAAAATCAGATATTAACTCAGATTATTAGGAGGCGAAATGGATTTAGACATACATTTAGGCTCATATTACATTCACGAGAATATCTTTATGGTTTCAGTTCATCTTGTGAATATATTCCCATGAATATTTGTGTTTCATTTTTATTTTTAAGTATGTGTGCTAGTTGTTTTTAACCTTCTGTCTGACTAAACTCTCAATCAAAAACACTTTTCTCCCTGCAAACCACTTCAGTTTATGAAGCTATTATTCAGTAAGACCGTGTTGTCTGTTGGAATTAACTACCCTCAACGTCCTCATAGGATAGAAATAGGATTAGATCCATATAAAATCAACCATGCCCAACAATCTGAGGAATGTAATGCAAGCGGTACGAACAAAGTGCCATAAGAACCCTAGGTTTTTGCCATGTTTTTCCATGATCCCTCTTCTGGGATAACTCTCTTGTCCTTGACCCCTGGAACCCAGTACTCTACCTCAGTACTATTCTTGCTTCACACCTCAGCTCTCTTTCCCTCTCTAACCTGTAAGTATCCTTTCCACAGACATGTGGGCAAAAAGTAAACCACAGTAACAATTTCGTCATAGCATAATGTTTAGATCATTTTTCTGCCTCCAACAACAAGTTATGATCAAATTGAGAGAACTCTCATGAAATTCTGTGGGAGGCCCTTCTTTAAACATACAGAATGAAAGCTGGCAAAAGTGAGATTCAATGTACACCTTAACAAATGGTGAGAGTAAACCAAGACTCAACAGGGAGTATAATGGAGGGAACCCACACAGTCCTGCCAGCATTTCAGAATACCACCAGTGTAGCAGTTCTCAACTTTGGCTGTGCTTTGATGTTACCTAAGAGCTCTAAAATATCCTTGATGTCTGGGTCTCAGCCCTAGAAAATGTTAATTAATTGGACTGAGGTAGATCAGGATCATTAGGGTTTAAAAATGCTCACAGGCAGTACCTATTGATGATGAGAATTTAAGGATAAGGTGCACTGCACAGGAAGATGCTGCTAGGTGGGAATGGCTTCTAGAAGTCAGTATGGAGATTGGGAGATGTAAATGGACTGTCAACATAAGGACACCTTATTTTTTATTATTTTCTTGAATAAGTTACTCTCCTTCTAAACTGATATAGCAACTTTCTGCCATCCATGATAAAATCAATATCTCGACCAGCCAACATATTAACACCAACCTCTTTAAAGAATGGTCCCATTTTTTTTCTTTATCTTCTGTGCTTGAGTCAAACAAAACTGCTTGCCTGAGTGTGCCATGAAAACCCTTCCCATATCTTCGTATGTGTCTGCTTCTAGGAATGTCTTTTTTCTTATTCCTCCAAGTCATTCATATTCATACTGCCAGACCCAACTCAGGCTTGTCCTTTTCTAAATGCCTTTCCGAGTGCCAGTGATGTTATAAAGTGCTCCTGTTCTGTGGCCAGTTAACTGCTCAATCGTAGCAGTTAACACATTGGCTAAAGCTAGCTCTCTATCTGCCACTTATATCGAGTTATTTAAAATTCCCTGGGGTAGAAAGTGTGTCATTTTTCTTTTCACTTTTCTCAGTATCCAGCACAGTGTTTGGCATATGGTAGGTGCTAAGTAAATGGTTATTAAGTAAATGGATGAAGCCCTGGCTGGTGTGGCTCAATGAATTGAGTGCCAGCCTGCAAGCCAAAGGGTCACCAGTTCCATTCCCAGTCAGGGCACATGCCTGGGTTGCAGGCCAGGTCCTCAGTCGGGGGCATATAACAGGCAACCACACATTGATGTTTCTCTCCCTCTCTTTCTCACTCCCTTCCCCTCAGTCTAAAAAATAAAATAAAATAAAATAAAAAATAAGTGGGTGGAAGGATAGATAGAGGTACAAATAGAAAGATGATTACATAAATTAACTCATTGATCTATTTAACATTTAGGGGGACTCTCATGATATTCATCACTGAGAAAAGATAATAACTTCCTGATGGATTTATTTCACATTCATCTTTCAGAGGTTAGAGACCCAAGAACCTGAACCTATTATAGTCACTAGAGACTTGAAGCCACAGCAGGTGGTTCCAGGAAAAAGAATTATAATCATGATTTCCTTGATTATGTCAAGGTTTTCTAGTCATGTTGTTTTTTTTTAATGTGAACTTTCTAGATAGCTGTTTAGCTCTTAGTCACAGCACTTTTCATTTGTTCTTCCCTTACTTCATACTGGCCTTGGCTTCATTTTTACAGACTCATAGTCAATATAAAAGCATCTGCTCCTCCTTTCCCAGTGCAGGTTCCAGCTGAAAATAAATTATGAGTTCGTTGTGTGTAAGAGCTAAAAAAGGTTGTAGGGATCATCTCACCTAATCCCTCCATTTTGCAGACCTAGAAGCCCTTAGGTAAAGTTTGAGAAACACACAGTCTGTGGCAGTTACCAGTTAACTGTATGTCCCGAACCTTATCAGCGAAGGAGGACCACTGAGGTCACGTTAACCTTGACACCCAAATCCTCTAGTGACTTGGGTCCCCTCTCTTAAAATCGGCTCTATTTCCAGGAATTTTGGGGAGATAGCTCATGTGTGCTCAGAAACAAGGCAGTTGGTCTTCTTTGCCCCTGGCCCCTCCCCCAAGGTCCCTTGCACACCAGGTCCCTGCTCTGGGCCCCTCTTCCCTGTGTATGACCATATTCTGTGAACGAGCTCCCAGGCACATAAGTCTTTTTTTTCCTTGGTGTAGAAGTGCTTGAAGAAATGACAGACAAGGATGGAAGTGGGAGAAGTAAGGGTGTTGAAAAGCATAAGACAAACTCTGCCCCAGATTTGGAGCCACGCTTCATTATTGGTGGACCAGAACACTTAACCTGGTGCTCTAGAATTTGGCTCTAAAATCACATCTGGATCCCAGATTTGTCTCTGCTACTTAGTAGCTCTTTGGCCTTCATCAAAATACAAAATTTTTCTGAACCTGAGTTTCTATGTTTTTCTTTCTTTAATATGTTGCCTATCAAAGATGATCATGGAAATGATCATTGCTTCTTTATAAGATTATTGTGAGGGTTAAATGAAATACTGTTTTAATATATCAGGTGTTTAGCTTAGTGGCAGAAGTTGGTAAACACTCAACAAATGGTACAGATATTGTATTTATATTTATCATTCTTATCATTGTTGC